CTCAGCACCGTGTCAACATGCCCACAGTGGCCGCCTGGGGACTGTGCCAGCTGTGGGGGCTGTCTGACCCTGGCCCAGGCAGGCCGCGCTGGGGAGTTAACACCCCGACAGGTGGGGTGTTGGTGGACAGACACCTCTTGAGTAAGATCCCTCTGAGAGCTGTTCTACGCGTGCTGCTGAAGCCCGAGTGTCGGCGGTCCCCAGGGGCAACTGGCCTGAAGAGACAGACGCCCGTTACCAGCATCCTCCCACCCCATTCGACCTCTCACCCCGCACTGGCGTCTCCTCGGATCACTTCCCAAATGACTGGAGTGACTGGGCAGGAGATGCAGTCATTCACGGAGAAAAGAAATTCAAAGGAAAACTCAGGTTTGGGGTGTTCTGTGGTGGAGAGTGACGGATTTAGAAATCTATCACTATCATTATCGATTTCTAAATTGAAGGGTGTATGTAAAAATATACACTATTTTTATATTCTTAAGAATAACTTAATTACTGTAGCACTTTGAACATGATGGGTGGCAACCACATCGAAGAGGTGGTTGAAGCCTTGGCTGAGGCTGGGCGATGCCGGGATGACGGTAAACAAAGGCAGAAGGAACAATGGCCAGGGACAGCACCCTCAAGAACACCAGTGATCCTCACCCCAGGCCCTCACCTGGAATCTGCTAGAAAATCTCTCTCAGACTTCCCCGATGATCCAGGAGTTAAGAATCCGCCTGCCAGCGCAGGGGGTGTGGGTTCGATCCCGAGTCTGGGAAGATTCCACGTGCCACGGGGCAACTAAGCCCATATGCCACGACTACCGTGCCCACACGCTCTTGAGAAGCCCATGGTCCGTGATGAGAAGCCACTGCAATGATAAGCCCCTGGGCCGCAACTAGAGAGAGCCCACACACAGCGATGAAGAGTCAGAGCAGCCGCAAATCGGTCAGTCAGTCGATAAGCAAGCTTTAAGAAAACGCCTCTCCGTCCATGCAGACAGACAGCCTTTGCTTCTGCGTCACCTTCTCCGGGAAGCCTCCTGCCAAGCACAGCGATCTGGTGCAGCGGTGGTCACGCTGCAGCCGTAAGCTGCTCGCTGGACGTCTCCGCTCACCCCCGTGTCCCAAGGTCAGGGCTGGTTCAATCACGTTTGAGTCCCTGGTGCTTGGTACAGTGTTCGGCGAAGGTTCACAGGTGAATGAATGACTGAAGGAACCCGTTCTCTGAGGTCTGTGACATACTCCACACTTCTTGTCTTTCTGGAAGGAGACTTTCCTGCCTGGGAGGATACTGCCTCTGGAAGGAGCCCTCCAGCTAGTCAAGGACCAGTGACCTGAGGAATGTGGCCCCAACCGCACAGCCTGGCTTTCAAAGCCCTCCATGGGGAAGGTCCATCCTTCTCTCCACTGCCTGTCAAAATCCTAGACTTTCTTTGAGATTTGTATTTTTCCTGATCACCTCCTCCCAATTATTTGGAAGTAACTGCTTTAATTCTCTTAACATCTTATCTGATCTCTTTTGTGGTAATTTGATCATGTTCTACCTTTTCTGTGTTTATTCAGTTCAGTTCAGTCGCTCAGTTGTGTCTGACTGTTTGTGACCCCATGGTCTGCAGCACGCCAGTCTTCCCTGTCCATCACCAGCTCCTGGAGTTTGCTCAAACTCATGTCCTTTGAGTCGGTGATGCCATCCAACCATCTCATCCTCTGTCGTCCCCTTCTCCTCTGGCCGTCAATCTTTCCCAGCATCAGGGTCTTTTCCAATGAGTCAGTTCTTCACATCATGTGGCCAAAGTATTGGAGTTTCAGCTTCAGCATCAGTCCTTCCAATGAATATTCAGAACTGGTTTCCTTTAGGATGGACTGGTTGGATCTCCTTGCAGTCCAAGGGACTCTCAAGAGTCTTCTCCAACACCACAGTTCAAAAACATCAATTCTTCAGTGCTCAGCTTTCTTTCTAGTCCAACTCTCATATCCATTCATGACTACTGGAAAAACCATAGCTTTGATAAGATGAACCTTTGTTGGCAAAGTAATGTCTCTGCTTTTTAATATGCTGTCTAGTTTGTCATAGCTTTTCTTTCAAGGAGCAAGCATCTTTTAATGTCATGGCTGCAGTCATCATCTGCAGTGTTTTTGGAGCCAAAAAAATAAAGTTTCTCACTGTTTCTCCATCTATTTGCCTTGAAGCAATGGGACCAGATGCCATGATCTTAGTTTTCTGAATGTTGAGTTTTAAGCCGACTTTTTCACTCTCCTCTTTCACTTTCATCAAGAGGCTCTTTAGTTGTTCTTTGCTTTCTGCCATAAGGATGGTGTCATCTGCATATCTGAGGCTATTGATATTTCTCCCAGCAATCTTGATTCCAGATTGTGTTTCATTCAGCCTGGCATTTTGCATGATGTACTCTGCATATAATTTAAATAAGCAGGGTGACAACATACAGCCTTGATGTACTCCTTTCCAGATTTGGAACCAGTCTGTTGTTCCATGTCCTGTATTCATTATATATACACTATTGTTATATTCTTAAGACTATTTTACTTGCTGTACTACTTTGAACATGATAGGTGTCAGATATTCAGGATTATTTACTGAATTCCAAATGAATTTGCTTTAAGATATCTAGCCAAGAGGAAATCTACAGAATCTACAGAAATCTCTGATAAAGGGGCCTTTGTCAGCTATCACTGCATAACAAGCTATCCCAAACTCAGTGGCCTGAAATAACACTTATTATTATACCTTATCTGTCTTTAGGTTGACTGTGAGTAGGCTAATCAAGGCTAGGCTCAAATGGGGCTCAGGGGTCTGCTGACTTTACTGGGGTCATTTCTGTATCTCGAGGTTGGTTTGGGGATAGCCCTTTAGGCAGGGCTTGACTAGACAGCTTCACTGGGGCACACGTCTCTCACCCTCTTCCTAGGATCAGCTAGGCCAGAATATTCTCATGGCGATGGCAGAAGCATCAGGGAACACGCCGTCAGGCGAGCATGTTTAAATACCCTGCTGTGCCACACTGGCCAAACCCACCGTCCAGGGTGGGGGACGTACAGCTTGCCCTCAGAGCCACAGGGCAGTGGGCATGGATATAAGGACTGAAAAACTGGTGCCATTAACACAACTTGCCACAGTCTTCTTCCAAGTTTTGCTGTCAGGAAGCCAGGTAGACAGAACGTTTGCTTTGTGTTTTGTCCGGCCCACAGCCCTAGAGGAAGGGTCACTTTGGGGTGAGCTTTTAGGGGGTCAATTCCCCGGTAGCCCCTCTGTTGTACCACACCCCACATGGCGCTATGGTTGGTTCTGAGACAGTTGAAGCCTACAGCCCTTTTGAGGAGGAGGTGAATAAGGTCTCTCCTGCTTCCCTTGAGTCTTGTGCAACAAGGTATCTTGCCCAAGAACTGGTCTTTCTCTAGGAGCTAATAATCACACAGCACAATGTCTCGCTCATGCAAACGCTTGACTTGCACCCCTGATTACACAGCAACAGTAGATCTTGCCCGGAACCTGTTCTCCCTGGCTAATCTTGTGCCAAAGTCATCTCAGAATGTATGCCCTGGGAAAGAATCTGGTGGAACTCTAACAACCTTGAGGTATTCTTTTTATCTATTCTCAGCAGCCAGTTGAGAAGCATATAAGGCCCTGCTTAAACCAGTGAGGGTGGGTACTCTTTCGACCCCCTTTCGATGTCTATGTCAGAAGCTTCCTCTGTCCTAAAATCTCGGCTGCACAAAGCTCTGAGTGACTGAGACTGTCTCTTCGGTCCCAGAGTTAGATCTTCCCCTTTGGAGGCCATGAACACGGCACCGAACACCGCTCACTGTGAGCTATCAGTTTTGGGGTGTCTCTCTCCTCTGTTACACTGGGTGCCCCTGTCTTACTCATCTAGAGTCCAGAGTGGATGTCCATAAACATGTTTTTTTTTTTGGCTGTGCTGGGTCTTCACTGCTACGTGTGAGCCTTCTCTAGCTGTGGCGCACAGGCTTCTCGTTGAGGTGGCTTTTCCTGTCACAGAGCTCGGGCTTTAGGGCATGCAGGCCCAGAAGTTGCGCTGAGCAGGCTTAGTGGCCCTGAGGCAATGTCCAATCTGCCTGGATCGGGATCGAACCTGAGGCCCCGGCACTGGTAGGTGGATTCTTACCCACTGGGCCACCAGGAAAGTCCCCCATAAACTCCTCCTGAACGCTGAGTGAAGGCCAGTACACTTCTGACCACCATGACCTCTCCCTTCCCTGCCTCTCTTTTGACCTTTTATCTTGTCAAAAGGTATTGCTGGTTAATCTGTTGTGCTTAGAATTCATCATTAGAGTCACAAGGCTGACTCTTTACTCACAGAATATTCAAGGCAGTCACCTCAGAAGACTACAGTTTTCTACACTCTTTCCCCACTCTGAGTTCTGAAGGAAGTTTCCAGAACTCCCACAGTAAGCCTGTCATGTTCACCAGAATACTCCTGAGGGTGACAAATCTTTGCCTTGTTAAGACGGATGGAATTTTTGGAAAAGGCTGACAGTCATTTGGATCCAAAGCTGGTGACTAAGGTGGGTGATCAAGCTGGGTCATTCTGGGGACAGAAACGAGCTGTGGTCAGAGAGACATGAGCCTGAGCTTTCCCCATAGTTTTAAAGCTATGTCAAAGGAGCCGCAGCTGAAGAAAAGACAGAATCGTCTGAGCACGTCAGCCCCCTCCCAAGGCGACTATTGTGCAGGGGCCCCTACGCTACGGAGGAGGTTTTCATCCCATTTACTTTAGCTCTGAGAATCTGATGAAGGCTTTAGACCGCCTCTCCAGACAAACACCCATCTCGTGCATATGATTTCAGGAGGCCCGTGGGCCCCCGCCGAGGTCGAGCCAAGGACCCCAGTTAGAGCTTCTGTTCGGAGTGCACACACTTACCAGTGTGAAGGCAGCAGGTCAGCTTTCCTTCCTTCCTTCGTTTCTGCCCACACACCTCACCCCGAGCCCAGCCCAGGTCCTTGACCTAACAGATCCTCCAGGAGGCCCACGTGAGCCCATGGTCCGCTCGCCGTCAGCCCGAGACCGTCTCTGTGGACGAGGGCCCCTGTGGCCAGCTTGTCCCGTCAGCAGCTGGCCGGGGACAGTGCCCTCCGAGCATGCTGAGCCTTCTCGGGATGGCTGGGCTTCAGCCTCCGCGAAGTTCCTGCTTGGGAAGGAGCCTCGCTGCTCCAGTTGGTCTCGGGGCGCCTTAGGGGTCAGGGCCGGGAATGACCTTTACTTTGGGTGCCGGAGGGCCAGCTCCCGCGTCCTTGGCGCCCCTCCCTTCAGGCACCTGGCAGGATGCTCTGAACCTCCGCCAAGGGCGCAGGGGTGGGAAACGCCTGCCATGAGCCATGGCGGCCACAAGAGGGCGCCATTTGTCCTGAAAGCCCAGGCGTCTGGCTGGAGTCGTGACTCCCACCTTCACCCCCCCAACCCCCGTAACCCCCGACACCCACGCAGGCTCGCGGTCATGTTAGGTGCTGACGGCGGGCGGGGACAGAGCCTGGGGTGCAGGTGGCCGCCAGCTGAGACAGACTGTCCCCCAGCGACCTGCTTCTTACCCAGGCGGGTGCGATGGCCACAGCCACCCCCGAAGCCTCTGAGCTCTCAGACCTTTTATAAAGGTGCTCCCTCATCTAACTTTCTCTTTTCTTTGTGGCAAAAGCAACCCACGTTCAAAGGGGGAAATGAGAATATTAAGATGTGCAAAGGACACCTTGCAACCAGCCCTTACTCAAAAGCCAGTCTGGTCACCACGACAGGAGGGTGTTCGGCCTGGGACCCTCAGGAAGGTAACAAGAGTAGGGGAGCCTCTCAGGGAGAACGGGGGTGCCTTTGTGTTGAGGGGTATCTCAGCAGCGTGCATAGAGTCGGTGATGCTGCCAGGGTTCCAAGCCACAGGTGCCCAGAGGGAGAAGTGTGTGGCTGGGGAGAGGAGGGAAGGAAGCTGGTCCCCAGCGAGCAAGGCGTGCCCGCCCGTGTATCACACGCACACGCTCATGGGTGCTGGTGTAAACGAGAGAATCTGAGACCCAAAGGGGCTCACTCCCTCTGGGTCGCGCAGCCAGTGAAGCGCCGGAGCCCCTGCTCTGAAGTCAGGATGTCTCGCTCCAGAAGCTGCCGCCTTTACTAACACTGATGCTGGGCCTTTTGGAGCAAGGGTCTGTCCTCAGGCTCAGAGAACGGGACCCAGCTCCGCACCCCACCTGCACCCACAGCATCGCCCACATCCCGAGTTGGCAGGACAGCCGCAAGCTAGGAGGGACCCTCCGGCTATTGACCTCTGGGCCTGACTTCATGGCGCCTGCCCTAAACCTAGCTGTCAGGAGGCCTCAGAGGGCGAGAGCTGGGCGTTCGGGCAGGTCCTCAGGATGCCCACAACTTGCTCAGCCAAGGGTCTCCCACGTGGCCTGGCGAAAACCGTTCTCTCTTGTCTCCCCTCTGAGGCTCTGCAGAATGGGTCCACAGAGACTGGACTCTTCTTCTCCGGAAAGAAGCCCCTGCAGCCCTTCCTGGGGGTGGGGGTGGGAGTAGGGGGGACAGGCTGCTCCGAGAACAGCCCCCACCGCGCCCCGCTCCCAACCTCCCTTTCTTAGGACACCTCCTCCCAGTTTCAGCCTGGAGGCCCCGGGAGAGGCCGCCCCTGGTTGCCAGGGCAACCGCTCCATTGTTTTCTGCCGCCGGAGTGGAGCCTGCAGCCCCCACCCCCCCACCGGACCCGCTCCCCAACCCAGTCCCTAGACCCCTTGAGCCGGTGGAGCCCGCAGGGCCCCACTCTACTCCTCGGGGCCTCTTTGTCACAGCAGGATGCTGAGGAGGGGGAGACAGGCAGACTGGTCACCATGCCAACATCACTTTGCCCACATCCTCGGAGGGCGGGGAGGGGCTGGGGCAGCCGCTCATCCAGCCAGCTGGGGAGGGGTTTGTCTCTCCCCTGGCTCACCTGCCAAGGGCCCCCCCGCTGCCGGCCCAGCCACAGGCCTCGGCGTCCACGGCTGGAGGGGATTTCTCTGGCTCTCTAATTTTCACCCAGTTTGCTCCGTTTTCCCTCAGTGAAGCGCAGCTCGGAGCTCAGGCTTCACACCCACCCTGAAGTTTCACCAGCAGATGGGGCCTGGGCTATGGGAGAGGAGCCAGGCTATGCCCCGGCCACCCAGCCAGGAGCCCGGGGCCACGGTCCCTCCCCCATTCACTCCTTCACTCACTCATTCATTCAACAACATAACCCCGGGGCTGACTCAGGACCACTTCAACATTATTAAAACCACTTTACAGAAGGAGAACTCCTACTGCAAGAGGTAAATGGCCCAAAGTGCCCCAAATATTGTCAGAGGCAGGATTTAATCTCAGGTCTGGCTGCCCCTAGTATTGCTGCCTGTAAGTCAAGACTACATTCTCCCCACCATTGACAGTATCTGGACTACCTCGGGCACCATACGTAGATTGATTATTGACTAGAAAAATAAAGTCATTACAAGGAAGTTAAGGGCAGGGTGTTTTGCACATAGTAGCTGCTTAATAAGTATAGAGTGGATGCAGGATGGATGGATGAACCGATTCACATAGAGTATTAAGGGCAACTGTTCATTCACTCCTTCATTCATTTGTACATTCATTCAGTGAATAAGTACTGAGGACTTCTGTGTGCCAAGCATTGTGCCGGTACTGTGGACACGGGGAAACAGTACATCTCTGGTCCCAAGTCTGGGGAGAGCGGTGGACAGGTAACCTGCCCATTACAGTGCAGTGGCGTGAGAGCTACACTGGGGGAAGGACATCTCTCATCTTCTGAATCACTGAGTCACAGACCCTCTGGGCTGAAACAGATCATAAAATTCTTCTAGTTCCACTTTTATGCTTCAGTCATTTCATGTACCTCCATCACCATTTTTGCCATATCTACCTAGCATTCACTGTTAATATAATAATAATGTGTTATTATATAAATATCAGTAATATTTTTCTTTAAACTGACTCACTTATTAAGCTCTAAAATGATTACGTAAGATGGAAAATCCATTCACTGTAAACAAAACAGTGTGATTAAATTCAAGAGACATATAGTTGCTGCCAGTGCACCCTGATTCTAAGACCCACTCTCTTAAAAGGGAAATTCAGTGAGGGTGTTAGAATCAGCACCAAGCTGATTCCTTCTCTTTGACTTCAAAAGGCTTAGAAGAGAATTACAGTGGGAGGAAGCTTCTTAGTGGGTGCTTTAATGTTATTTAGGGGCTGGCAGGCGGCGAACCGCTGAACTTCATGTAAGGAGCCATAGGCTGTGGCCACACTTGACAAGCTCTGGTGGGTCTCGCCCATCCCTGCACTGGTTACTATGTCCCCGTGGAGGGGCTGCATGGACGAAAGGACATGCTGGGGCTTCTGGGTGACTTCCCTGTGAAGCCCGCTGGGGGCTCCATGATAGTACCCCCTCTCCACCCTACCTGCCACCTCCAGATCGGCACCAACGGGTCTCCTCAAGAGGGGCGCCCCAGGGCAGAGAGTCACCCCTCCCCAGCCCTTTGTACGATGCTCAGCAGGGTCCCAACCACTGACGTGATTCAGGGGCCTCCTCTGGATTCTGTAGGTGGTTGACTTCTGACATTTTCCCTTCCAAGCATAAGAGGAAAAACAAACAGGCTAGATTTGTGCACAGAGGAAGGAGGATCTGAGTCTCCAAATCCTATCCCCTCCCTAAAACACACAGGCACCCCTGTTGCTAATACCTGAAAGTCCACTGTTACTGCTTCATTCCTTCGCACTTATAATAAAAAGGCATTCGAGAAGAGAATTTGTTTATTGTACACTCTGATCAATTTACATGAAATGTCCGAAACAGGCAGATCATAGAGACAGAAAGTAGATGAGGGGTTTCCCAGGGCCAGAAGTGATGGGGGGTTGGGGGGTACTAAAGGGTATGGGTGTTGAGGTGATTAAAATGTTCTATAATTGACTGTAGTGATGGTTGTACAACTTATATGTGAATATAGGAAAAATTAAAGTGAGAAATTTAAATGGGTGAATTGTACAGTATAGGGGTGGTATCTTGATGAAGCTGTTATGGGGGGAGAGAGAATGAGGAGGAGGAAGAAGTGAAGGGGTTCTTTAGGAACCTGGTGATGGAAGACAGCGCTGTCACTGCTATTCCTTCCTGTCCCCTTTTACTGTCAGATCTAACCTGTCTACTGGTCCCCTCAGTCCATCTTCTATTTCTTCTACTTGTCCCTGACTTAGTAATAATTAGAGCCAATATATCTGAGTGCTAATATGTGCCTGGTATTATAGTCCTTAGCGATCTTCAGTTAATCCCTCCCTGAGGTCACTTGCTCACAGAGCACATTTACTAAGGCCCCCTTTTGTGAAGGTTAGACGGACTGGGGTGTTTCTTGGTTTCCTAGAGTTACTTCCAGACCCCCCTGCCTGTCCTCTTTACAAAACCAGGTCATCTGCTTGTAGCATCACCACCACCTCACTTCTGTGTCATCTACCAGCCTACAGAATCGCCTCCAGCCCGGACCTTCCCCCAGAATGTGCACACCTGGCTCATTCACAGGGTTCATCCCCACACTGTTCTCACCTTCACCGATTTCCACATCCAGGCTGAGGGCTTCTCAGCTTGCACCAGCTCCGCTCAAGTTGATGCCTCATCCAGGCTGCACTTGAGTCAGCAAGGCTACGTGTGGACCTCACTCACAATCCTTCACAACTGCTCCGTCCCGAGTCTCAGGCTCTGGACGCCCCTCTCTTATATGATGTCCTGGCCTTTCACGGCCCTCTCCCATCCACTCCATCTGAACTTGTGCTTCGGCTTCATGAGGTCTTCCATCCCCAGACCACCAGGATCACTCCTTCACTTGAGCTCTTCTTCCTCCTCAATGTCCGTCCACCTCTGAGAACTTGCTCCTTCCATCACTTGCCATATTCTTTGCATCTTCCATCTCTCCCATTCCATCATGCTGCTTTCTTGGCCTGCAAATATCTCTATTCTGAAAGTCCTCCATGAATCCTGGTATCTCCTAACTCTTGTTTCCTTTATCACCAAATGTCCTGCTGGAGTTCTGTCCTCACTGTCTCTTCACAGAGCAGCTCTATTCTTATTTATCATCAAGGATCAGAAAGTGAATTTTTAAAGATGTGGCTTTGACAGAACAAAGGGCAAAGGCCAACCACAGTTTGATAGTCAGGAGGACTAGAAGGACTATGGGGTGGGCTGATTGCTTCTCCCCATTCAAGAGAGAATAAACAGAATAATAAGCCCAGGGCATTAAATCGATGGCTCAACAGTCAGAGAATCAAGGGCTTCCTTTAACTGTCTTAAGAGAATATCTGATGAATGCCCTAAAATCATATCTTATCTCTCACAGCTAGTGAGTAGCCAAAAGCCAAATATAGGTTCTTATCCTGTAAGTTGCTGATTTACAAAATAGAGTGGATTCACAGCTCACCGTATTTCTAATGGGAAATTTTAGGGCAATGATTA